CTCTACTGCAAGATGGGGGGGTGGCTCTACTGCAAGATGGGGGGGTAGCTCTACTACAAGATGGGGGGGTAGCCCTACTGCAAGGGTTAGTTTTTGATTTCCCCGGAGTTCTTCTTTAATGTTTTTACAAAAACGCACAAAGACACAGCAAGCAGCGCTTCTAAAGAACGCACCACACCGCCCTCTCACCCAAATTAATGTCCAAATCCCAATCGCACTCCTGACTGGCAAGTCCCCTAGGTGGGTACTACAGTGGCAAACAAATGGCGCCGCTCAATATCAGGGAGGGGGGGGGGGTAACTGGCACTTGAGTATGCTGACCAACGCTCCGTCATTGACGCACGCTCCGTGTAACATATAGCCGACGTTTCGGAGGCACGCGGGGTCCCCTTCATCAGGGAATCAATCGCCCGCTAACTCAGCGCACTGGTGTAATGGAATCCAGTTCTCATGTTACTATGCTGTGATCCCGCGCAGCGCGAACGGCCAATGAAACTTCTACATTCCCTACAGACGCAAGTGCCCGCTGAGTCATATGACACAAGTGATGACATCACCGGATTCTAAATGCGTTGCATCGTATGGACAGAAGATACTTTCCTTCCCCTGGCCGGCTCCACACACACATCACAGACGCATCTCGGGAGCTTCGAGGGATCTTCCTCCCCCATCCGTCTCTGCACATGAATATATAATCGGTCACGACGACGACGACGACGACGACGATGTCATAGTTGCTGTAGGCAGGAAATGCGGTGCGTGTGTGCGAAGCGTCGCTGCGTTTACCCGAGCGATCTTTACTATATGTGGCGTATGACGGGTGAAACGGAACTCTTCCGTTCTCCACGCATTGCCTCTCTGCAGTTGTCATAGTAACCGTTCGTAGGATTGCTCCACCATTATAAATAGCGAGGTTCGGAGCCATGTGGGGGGCGCGCCGGAGCGTGGGCTGCGCAAAGGCATCAAACTGCGCCTATTAAAGTGTCAATCCACCCAAAGCTTACATTCCGGGGATTGGTTTGTTGCGTCACTCGGCGCCGTTCCCCCGGGTCTGCCGCGGCCGGGAATGGAGATCCTGCTCGCACTCTGGGATCTTTTTACCATTGCAGCAAGAGGAGTGAAACTTCATGACGGGTGTGAAAAGAGCCAAGGGGTCTCATTACTGGAGCGCACCTCCACCCAGAACTGATATATATATATATATATGACTTTTGGGTTGTTGCTTTAAGGCAGGGGTGAGCAAACTCCGGCCCTCCAGCTGTGGTGAAACTACAAATCCCATCATGAATCTCTCTCCGGCAGTCATGCCTGTGAGAATCTTGCAATGCCTCATGGGACTTGTAGTTCCACAACAGCTGGGAGGACCGGAGTTTGCCTGCCTTAAAGAGATTCTTGGTTGCTCTGTATGTCTGGGTATTGGGGGGGGGTCACAACTTACCCCTTCCTCCTAGTCTGCGGGCCAATAACCCGGTGTAAGCCCTGACACAGAGCAACACGGAGCTTATCCAAGGATTAGACTGCGACGGACCAACCGAGCGGCCGGGGGGCAATCTGAGGGTAGACTAAGGGGGGCTTCAGCCCCATGACCAGTATACATTGTACGGCGGGAGAGACCAATGCTTAGTGAAGAATACACATCATGCCCATGACCAGTGTACACACACACACACACACACACACACACATACACACACACACACACACCTTTAAAGATTTAAAGGGACAATGCCGTATGAACACCCCCAGCAGTGACACTACAATGTATATAAAGGTCTATGGTCACCCAACACAGCGTATTATATAATATAAAGACAGTTACATTGTATCCAGCAACACACACATACTTCTATAGATACTCACACTCACCCCTCCAGCACCCGGGGCTCACACTCACCACTCCAGCACCCGGGGCTCACACTCACCACTCCAGCACCCGGGGCTCACACTCACCACTCCAGCACCCGGGGCTCACACTCACCACTCCAGCACCCGGGGCTCACACTCACCACTCCAGCACCCGGGGCTCACACTCACCACTCCAGCACCCGGGGCTCACACTCACCACTCCAGCACCCGGGGCTCACACTCACCACTCCAGCACCCGGGGCTCACACTCACCACTCCAGCACCCGGGGCTCACACTCACCACTCCAGCACCCGGGGCTCACACTCACCACTCCAGCACCCGGGGCTCACACTCACCACTCCAGCACCCGGGGCTCACACTCACCACTCCAGCACCCGGGGCTCACACTCACCACTCCAGCACCCGGGGCTCACACTCACCACTCCAGCACCCGGGGCTCACACTCACCACTCCAGCACCCGGGGCTCACACTCACCACTCCAGCACCCGGGGCTCACACTCACCACTCCAGCACCCGGGGCTCACACTCACCACTCCAGCACCCGGGGCTCACACTCACCACTCCAGCACCCGGGGCTCACACTCACCACTCCAGCACCCGGGGCTCACACTCACCACTCCAGCACCCGGGGCTCACACTCACCACTCCAGCACCCGGGGCTCACACTCACCACTCCAGCACCCGGGGCTCACACTCACCACTCCAGCACCCGGGGCTCACACTCACCACTCCAGCACCCGGGGCTCACACTCACCACTCCAGCACCCGGGGCTCACACTCACCACTCCAGCACCCGGGGCTCACACTCACCACTCCAGCACCCGGGGCTCACACTCACCACTCCAGCACCCGGGGCTCACACTCACCACTCCAGCACCCGGGGCTCACACTCACCACTCCAGCACCCGGGGCTCACACTCACCACTCCAGCACCCGGGGCTCACACTCACCACTCCAGCACCCGGGGCTCACACTCACCACTCCAGCACCCGGGGCTCACACTCACCACTCCAGCACCCGGGGCTCACACTCACCACTCCAGCACCCGGGGCTCACACTCACCACTCCAGCACCCGGGGCTCACACTCACCACTCCAGCACCCGGGGCTCACACTCACCACTCCAGCACCCGGGGCTCACACTCACCACTCCAGCACCCGGGGCTCACACTCACCACTCCAGCACCCGGGGCTCACACTCACCACTCCAGCACCCGGGGCTCACACTCACCACTCCAGCACCCGGGGCTCACACTCACCACTCCAGCACCCGGGGCTCACACTCACCACTCCAGCACCCGGGGCTCACACTCACCACTCCAGCACCCGGGGCTCACACTCACCACTCCAGCACCCGGGGCTCACACTCACCACTCCAGCACCCGGGGCTCACACTCACCACTCCAGCACCCGGGGCTCACACTCACCACTCCAGCACCCGGGGCTCACACTCACCACTCCAGCACCCGGGGCTCACACTCACCACTCCAGCACCCGGGGCTCACACTCACCACTCCAGCACCCGGGGCTCACACTCACCACTCCAGCACCCGGGGCTCACACTCACCACTCCAGCACCCGGGGCTCACACTCACCACTCCAGCACCCGGGGCTCACACTCACCACTCCAGCACCCGGGGCTCACACTCACCACTCCAGCACCCGGGGCTCACACTCACCACTCCAGCACCCGGGGCTCACACTCACCACTCCAGCACCCGGGGCTCACACTCACCACTCCAGCACCCGGGGCTCACACTCACCACTCCAGCACCCGGGGCTCACACTCACCACTCCAGCACCCGGGGCTCACACTCACCACTCCAGCACCCGGGGCTCACACTCACCACTCCAGCACCCGGGGCTCACACTCACCACTCCAGCACCCGGGGCTCACACTCACCACTCCAGCACCCGGGGCTCACACTCACCACTCCAGCACCCGGGGCTCACACTCACCACTCCAGCACCCGGGGCTCACACTCACCACTCCAGCACCCGGGGCTCACACTCACCACTCCAGCACCCGGGGCTCACACTCACCACTCCAGCACCCGGGGCTCACACTCACCACTCCAGCACCCGGGGCTCACACTCACCACTCCAGCACCCGGGGCTCACACTCACCACTCCAGCACCCGGGGCTCACACTCACCACTCCAGCACCCGGGGCTCACACTCACCACTCCAGCACCCGGGGCTCACACTCACCACTCCAGCACCCGGGGCTCACACTCACCACTCCAGCACCCGGGGCTCACACTCACCACTCCAGCACCCGGGGCTCACACTCACCACTCCAGCACCCGGGGCTCACACTCACCACTCCAGCACCCGGGGCTCACACTCACCACTCCAGCACCCGGGGCTCACACTCACCACTCCAGCACCCGGGGCTCACACTCACCACTCCAGCACCCGGGGCTCACACTCACCACTCCAGCACCCGGGGCTCACACTCACCACTCCAGCACCCGGGGCTCACACTCACCACTCCAGCACCCGGGGCTCACACTCACCACTCCAGCACCCGGGGCTCACACTCACCACTCCAGCACCCGGGGCTCACACTCACCACTCCAGCACCCGGGGCTCACACTCACCACTCCAGCACCCGGGGCTCACACTCACCACTCCAGCACCCGGGGCTCACACTCACCACTCCAGCACCCGGGGCTCACACTCACCACTCCAGCACCCGGGGCTCACACTCACCACTCCAGCACCCGGGGCTCACACTCACCACTCCAGCACCCGGGGCTCACACTCACCACTCCAGCACCCGGGGCTCACACTCACCACTCCAGCACCCGGGGCTCACACTCACCACTCCAGCACCCGGGGCTCACACTCACCACTCCAGCACCCGGGGCTCACACTCACCACTCCAGCACCCGGGGCTCACACTCACCACTCCAGCACCCGGGGCTCACACTCACCACTCCAGCACCCGGGGCTCACACTCACCACTCCAGCACCCGGGGCTCACACTCACCACTCCAGCACCCGGGGCTCACACTCACCACTCCAGCACCCGGGGCTCACACTCACCACTCCAGCACCCGGGGCTCACACTCACCACTCCAGCACCCGGGGCTCACACTCACCACTCCAGCACCCGGGGCTCACACTCACCACTCCAGCACCCGGGGCTCACACTCACCACTCCAGCACCCGGGGCTCACACTCACCACTCCAGCACCCGGGGCTCACACTCACCACTCCAGCACCCGGGGCTCACACTCACCACTCCAGCACCCGGGGCTCACACTCACCACTCCAGCACCCGGGGCTCACACTCACCACTCCAGCACCCGGGGCTCACACTCACCACTCCAGCACCCGGGGCTCACACTCACCACTCCAGCACCCGGGGCTCACACTCACCACTCCAGCACCCGGGGATCACACTCACCCCTCCAGCACCCGGGGATCACACTCACCTCTCTCCTCCGGACAGCACAGGCTCATCTGCCAGAAGTGGAGAAGTCAGCTCAGCCTGACAGCTCTCGCCCCGCCCTCACGCGTATCTGATTCGTCCCACCGACAGTTGCTACGGGATCAGTTTGCCTCTATTGGCTCTGCAGCCCATCTGTCACTCTGGCGGGGCGGGGCACATCCCGCTCGACTTTCTCCCCTTAGGTAAGGAAAAGTGGGCGGTGTACGAGGAGCAGGTGGGCGGGACGTGGGAGGGGCGCTTCTTGTTTACAAACGCGTGCTTGGCCCGGAGCGCATGCGCAGTCCTGATGTGGATTGTCAGCGTGTGTTCTGGGGATTCCAAGGACAAGCTGCTGCTGGGCCGGGGATCTCAGCCTGTTACCCGCCTTGTTGTGTTGGGTGGTAATGGCAGAGAGTATACAGGGGAGATAATCTATCACAAATGGAGCAGCAGCTGTGCACAGCGACCAATCAGCTTCTCTCTTCAGTACGTTCAGTTAAGATTTGAAAATGAAAGAAAGAAGCTGATTGGTCGCCATAGGAAACTGCTCCAGTTTTGGCAAATGCCCCTCAGTGTGATATGACTGTGGAATGTAAACATAATTTTTTTGGATTTCAGACATTGCTCGCGAATACAAGATCAATTGGCGAGCATCGGGAACGAGAGG